CGGGTTTCGGGGTGAGAGCTGCCCCCCCGTCCTCATTTACTTAGGGAAAACCTCTTATTCGGACGTGGCGGGACTCTGGAGGGAGCAGAGATGTTGTAGGGGGTGGTGATGGCGATTTTGAGCCACGGCGAAGATTTTGGAGATGTCCGTACCCGTTGCCGCTACCGGGAGAGCATTTCGTGACGCCGCTTCCTTCTCTTTGCAGACGAGCTCACGGTGCCTGCACTTTACCCCGGCAGCCCTGAAGTGTGGGGGCCGTACCCCCTGTACCCGGCGGAGTTAGCGCCTGCTCTACCTCCTCCTGCTTTCACCTACCCCGCTTCGCTGCACGCCCAGGTAATTTGGACCCATCCGCCGCCCACTGCGCTCACCCTCACCCCTTTCCCCTCCGCTAACCCCTGCCCGGCTCACAGGCACTGCCCCCCCTCCCAAATTGCGCCTTGCCACCCAAAATTAAGCTCGGACACCTCTCTCTTCCTTTCCTACCTCGGAGGGCAGGCGGGGAGGGATGCGGGATGCTCTGCGCCGCTGGACCGGCCCCATCGGTCCTGGTGCGGCACACAGGGGGGGTCCTGAGCCCCCAGCTCCACTTTGAGCATCGCTGGGATGCAGGGGCGCGAAGCAAAGCGACTCCGACAGGGAGGAGAGGGCAAGCGGAGCACAAATGGAGGAGAAGCCTTTCCTTGTCACAAGTACCGACCAGGGATGTTAAAAATTAACCACTTGCCCCAGGAAGGAGAGATGCGGAAATGGAGGCCGCGGAGGGGTTTTCTGGGACATTTCCACCGCTGGGATGAGGCCCCGCCATGGCGGAAGGAGGAAACGAGTGCATGGAAACAGACTGGCCGGATAAGTCGCATCCGAAAAGCTCTTGGCCCCCGGAAGAGCCGATTATCCGGAGCTGCCATCGCTGGTTTCAATGCAGGAGGGGGGGAGACCAGCTCGTCCTGTGAGCAAGGCTGGAGAAAAAAACTCTCAGTGTACAAACCAGCCACAGCCTTGGGATGAAACTCCAGCTTTTCAGGCTCCACTGCTGATAGGAAGAGCAGCAGTAAATATTATTGCAGCTACGTATTCGCCTTGCCAAACAAACCGCTAACAGGCAGCACCTGCGTCGCTCGGGAGGCTGAGAAAACGGCCGGAGGAGGAAGCAGAGGCGTGAGGATGGCCCCTGGGGAAACTCAGGCTGAGACCCGACGGCCGCGCCGCTGCTGGAAGAAACAGCATCTGCCCTGGTTAGGGAGCTCTGGGTGTTCCCAGTG